TCTCTTTTAAATACTCAGAAGTTTTTCCTTCTAGCATATAAGTTACAAAAACGAATCGACGCCGAGAGTCTCGCCAGAGTACCATTAGATAAACAATGATTTCATATGTATATAGAACAGAGTGCTCTTTGTCTTTAGGTGACGTTTTTGGTTTCGTCTTTGTGAATAGTAGTAAAGACGGTCCTTCCTCGTACATCAAATTAATAAACTAAAAGGGATAAGTTTAATTCACTGCGTTTTACTTTTATTTATCTACCCATTTCCAATAGTTGCCAATGGCCTAAACGTCGACGCAACGATTCATCTTCATCAGAAGAACGTAATGGTCAGACTTCGGATCTCGATGCATTTATGGCGCGTGCAGATTTTTCAGATGCAAGGACACTTACAAATTAACGAGGTCTAATAGGTTTTACCTTTTTATTACAATAAGTAATCATTTACTTGACGAAAGAAACTTTTCTTGGATTCTCATTCGTGTAAAATAAATAAATGAATAAAATATGAAATAAATAAAATAAATAAGATAAATAAATAAAATAAGTGAATAAATTGATGCTTCGCAGCAAAAGAATATCCAAACTTCTAGCAATCACAACGATGAATGTTTCTAGCGATAAAGATTCTAAAATGATAAACATTTTCGGTATCGAAACGAGACGATCGCCGATTTTGTAGCGAAGCTGTCAAGGACGATAAGCGATCGTCTCAGTGAAACTTGCAAATAGACGCGGATGAAATATAAAAGCTATAAATCGGTATTGGTTGCAGCTATTGATTTCGATGTATCGATGCGAACGGAATTATTCGAATATCCGGCGGCAGCGTAATAATTCGAACGTCAATCGGGATTGAGATCGGGATCCGGATTTGGACCTTCGCCGCGGCGAAATCTATTTCTGATATCCAACGGGACGCAGCCGCATAAATTACCTACCTCGAACGATTTCTAGTCTCGCGGACCGATAATATTGCCTGTACTAACTCTCGCTAACTCGCCGTTTTCGCCTCGCAAGGTTTTGTTCGTCTCTATCGATATAGAAAATGAACACGGTGACGCGAATTCTGTTACCGATAATTAATAATCCGCTTTCACCAGAGGGATTTAAATTGTGCTAGAAAAACAGATAAATAAACGACGAACAAACAAAGCAATTCGAATTATTTAACATTCACATAACCCTGACGTAACCTCAAGATTACGTACAACCAATATGTAGTAACCCTGGGCCCCAGGAACCTGCATCTACCGCTGACGTAACCGGTGACCTTGAGCCTACGACCAACTTGACGTAACCCCGGGCCCCAAAACCTACATCTACCGTTGTCGTAACCGGGGATACAAGATAACCTTGATATAACCACGACATGACCGCGACATAACTGCGACATACTACTGTGATCAAAAAGTAAGGTGAAATTGTCATTTAAAACTCCCGGACATTAGGAAGGCAGGCAATTGTTTTTTTCCTAGGTTGGTAGGACTGTCTATAACAATTGCCAAGCGTCTGTTTGTTAAAAGGTTTAATTATCTCCGAGTTACACGTGTTTTAGTAAACGACCAAAAGTGAATTTTTCGATTTTTACAATTGGTGATTTTGTTGAGCAAAGAACTTGCATCAAATTTTGTTTGCGGAACGAATATTCTTGTGCGGACACGTTGAAAATGTTGCGGAAGGCTTTTGGTGATCAAACTATGGCACAAAAAAACATTTATAAGTGGTACAACGAGTTCAAAGCGGGCCGAGAACGCGTTGAAGACGAACCGCGCTCTGGACGACCATCAACGTCTACCGACGAGGGCCACGTCCAAAAAAATCGAAGATTTGGTGCTTGAAAATCGTCGACTGACAATGAGAGACCTCGCTGATAGTGTTGGAATATCATTTGGCTCAGTCCAAACCATTTTGAAGGATGTTTTGTGTCTCAAACGCGTCAAGTCTCGATTGGTGCCATGTCATACTGCATTGGTTCTTCGCGACTTTTTTGCCAAAAACTCGACTCATATCGTTCCGCAACCACCGTATTCGCCTGATTTGGCTCCGTGCGACTTCTGGTTATTCAGCAAACTCAAAAAGCCAATGCGGGGACGCCGTTTTGACACGATTGAGGAGATAAAAACCGAATCGAAGAAGGTCTTGAAGGCTATACCGGAAAAAGACTATTCCGACTGTTTCGAGGACTGGAAAAAGCGTCGGAAACAGTGCGTTTTATCGGACGGGGATTACTTTGAAGGGGATGAAATTGATTTGGAAGAATAAATAAAGAATTTACATTTTATAAACAAATTCACCTTACTTTTTGATCACAGTAGTAATCTTGTATTAGGGGGACCGGAAAGTTATGTCGTTTGTTTACATTAAATTCAAACAGATAAATATGCGCAGAAACGACATTACTTCCCCCCCCCCCCCCGGCCCCCTTAATACATGAACCAATATGTACATGAATTAGGTCTATCGGAAAGTTCTGTCCGTTTAAGAAATGAAAGGAAATAATAGATGTTTCATAAATTTAGTAATATTTATTATACAATATAATTTCCGTCGTTACTTATGTCCTCTTGCCAGCGTGATGGCAACTTGTGAGCAACATTTTTCAAAAATATATGTCTCAA